AATTTTATCCCTTGCAATAAACTAGAATCGTCCACACTGAAATTTATAGCAATAAGTAATTTATAATACATTATTAATCGGAATTATTTCCTAGTTCTTTTATTTAGCTTGTCTAAATTAGGTAAATACAATTTGTAATTCATCGCAACAGTCATTGTTAATTTTTAAAAATAACGGCTATAAAAACCTAAATAATGAAACTGATACAAATTTGATTTCAGGAGAGCAAATTTTATATATATATTTATTTTTTTTAATTCTCTATCATTAGCAAACTATTTGAAAATAAAATTGTATAGATAATGAATGATATAAACATAACCACAATTAATGATATAAAAAATCTTCCCCACGATAAATGGAGCGATATGTGATCAGAGTACAAACGCGTGGAGAAGAAAGACCAATAAATAATTTCTTACGGAAACTGGCCAATCAATATCTCATGGTATAAAGGCACGGAGGTTAAGATGGGCGGGACATGTAGCTCGTAATAATCCATCTGGAAGCCTCTAAGTAACGAATGCCTCAATAGAAGGCAAAAGACAACGTGGAATGCCAAAAAGTAGTTGAATAGATAGAATCATGCAATAGAGCTGCGTGTAGACAACCGGAAAGAAATAGCCCAAGACAAGCAGGAATGGAGCAAGTAGGCTAGTTAAGGTGACAAAAGATTTACAATTAATACTTAACACAAAGCAATTATTTAAACATAATTTTGAACAAAAAACGTTTTAAAGGTACACAAAGAATACGGAGTTCGTTCACGTTTCTTCGATTTGTTAATAACAAAACATAATGCTTATTAAAAATAAAAACCCTATACTTTTTTTTCACAATACTATGTTGCATCATATACTGAAATTCTCCTTCTCTAGTAATAATATTGAATGAAAAATTTGTATGTAACGTAATGATGTTAAGGCTAAGAATTTAGAAACATTGTACATATTGTTCTAATAAATTTATTAATTTTTTTTAACTTACTTTCACAATAAATTACAAATTTATCGGTACATAAATGAATGTATCATTTATAATTGTTCTTATAAGATAAAAATTAACAGTGTTCAAAATTGTAAATAGGTTATTATATAATTTTTAGACTGTACATAATTTTTCAATAAAAATATTTTTTTACTAAAAATATTTAATTACCTATATCAGCCCAAATCTCGAATGAATATATATTTTTTCATGATGCACTGTGTTAACGTAATTAATTATTATGTAATGACCTAATAAAAGTTTCAATATATTGGTTAAATTAGTTTTATAGAAGGGACCTAAATGATTTTTTTTCTCATTACTTTATTAATATATTTCTTAGGATTCGGCTTTTGATATAAAAACGTAACGGAATGCCTTACTTGTCTAGCGTTTTGAACGTCAAACATTTTATTTTCCAATTGAAAATCCAAATATCAAATAAATTAACTTTAAAATTAATTGTATATATGTTAAATTTTAACTAACTAAATATTCATCTGATGGAATAGAATAAGTTATGTATGAAATAACTTATTTTATGATACATTTCACTCACACTTTCATTTGTAATAATTATTATTTGAATGAAAGGAAGTAAATTGTCTTAACATTTTTTTTTTTTTTTTTACAATTTAACAATTATTATGGACTGAAACATGTTTACGTTTTAGTAAAATTGAGAAAAATCGATGAAATCCTCAGTTCCTGGATAGCGAATTGAGCTATACAGCGTACGCAATTAACGTCACTACAGAAGGTAATAAATTGTGAATGTGAAACCAACTTGTAAACACTGACTCACCGGAATAGCACATATCCGTATGAAACAATATACGGCTAAGATATTAAAAATATATATGTTACATCCTTGTATTTTGACTATATTGTGTTTCTATAAGTAATGTACTTTTATAACTATTAACTTTTATTTATTACTACAGGCTATACGTCTTTGTTTCTTATAATTTGGAGAACACTCTATTTTTATCATGTTTTCGATTTTCTGGTACGTTTCTATTTTATTCTTTATTATGTTTCTATGTTAGCTATTTCGTGTTACTTTTTACTGCAATTAATTTATTTCCAATCTATTAATAATGTACACCTAATTATTGCTTTGGGCCTTTGTGTCAGTCTTGTAGTATGTCATTCTTTCTTTTATGAATATTAATATAGATCTTCCAGTATTTTCATAATTTTTGTTATGTGTGCACTAACAAGTATTTATGAATTTAGGAAATAAATTGTTGGTTTGAGATGCTGTGATGGGATGAAAATTTTGAGTATACGTTTCTTATATTATTTATGCAATTAGTATTAACTAGAGACATCTTTTTTTAATATTTTTTTGTCTCATATGTATGAATGTGTACATATCGCCTTTTTTATAATCTACCTTAACACTCAATTTTATCTTTCATGTTACTGTTATAGTTTAATATAACACTTAATATTATATTTTATTATTATTATTATAAAAACCATAATAAGGAGTCCTAATTGTTGAATTGTTTTTTTTATAACCTCAATATTAATTCTATTTTTTTTCCATAAAAATGTTGTTACCTTAGTATTTTTTAAATTTATTTTTGTTTTCATAAGTATTATTTTATTTACTTTAATATATTTCATTAAATTTTTTTTTTTAATCTTTGCTTTGGATCGTTGCATCCTGTTTTGATTATAATACTTTTTTTTTTAAATGGATGTTTTAGTATTATTTGATTGACTTGATAATTAAGCTCTAACATTATTTATTTAGTATTTTATTGGAAAAAGATTTTCTTAAAGATTCAACTCTGATCTAGTTTAGTTATTTATGTGAACACCGGAGCAATTATTTGAGCGATAACAAACAAATTAATAAATCAGATTTTGAGAGGGCCTCAATGAAGTACTTCAACTGAAATAATAAATCACAATTGAATGAGATATGGTCGTTTCGAACTCATAAATTATTAATTAGGGGCCACATATTTCAAAAGGTGGCTTTTACATTATTTGGTTGATGCTAGATTAGCTTTTCCATATCGAAGTTACAAAACAAAATATCATTAATTTATTTATTATAAAACATAACGCACAACTGAGATAATACGCAGAAATAGAATAATTTTAAAATAAAATATTTTATATTTTATAATATATGGCAGTACTTGTATCTGTGTTTTTTAGTTTATATTTTAGTCGTTTATTTCCAAAGCGAATCCTAATCGTTATTAACAATTTTTCATGAAGCGCAAATAACTATATATTCTTTTCCAATTGTAATATCAAAAGCAATATGTTTAAAAAATAAATTAGGAAATTCTTTATTTTCAGAAAAAAGTTCTGAAAATCACTGATTATTCCAGTATTCATTAAAAAAAAAAATGAAACTTTTAAATGTTGAAAGGATCCCTTTTGGAAAGAAAATGACCTCAACGTATTCGAAGAAAAATAAGGTTGTTTGGGATTTATTTTGTAAAATAATTCAGAGTGGAGGGATAAAGTCATATAAATGATGATAACGAAAGAAAGAAAAGAACAAATGACATTTTTATATACAATGCAATTGGTATTTATGATGACAATCCCGTGAAACTTTAACGTTTTTGAATTAATTTACTGTATATTGTCAATCAGATGGATTAGTATGCTGAGTCAGTTAGCAACTAGACGCAGTTGAGTAACATTGCTATTTTATTGTATTTCTCTTTTGTAGATTGTTTTGAAAAAAAAAACATAGTAATAAGACCAATATTTTTGAAAATTATGCAACTCAAGTTATTCAAATACAATTTTACAAGATTAATAAAGAAGGCAAATTTGATTAAGAAATCATAATTATCTGGAATCATCAGTTTCATGACTCGAATGGTGGAAAACATATTAACTTCCTTATAAAAAAATATACAAAGACAAACTTACAGGTACATAATGTTTGGGAGTAAATACGAATATTTACTTTAAAAATTATTAAATTAATATAGTGTAAAAACAGATTTTTCTATATTAATATATCGAAGAGAATATGATCATTTATATGCAAAGTATAAAATTGAAAACTTAAATTAATTTCCGACAAGTATAATATTAGGAACGCACATTTTTTAACAGGGATGAAACGTTCGGAGCATAGTATAGCAAGACCAATACAGAAATACTTTAGAGCCTCTAATTTTATAATGCCATATAATTGTTGTAGTTATCTTCAGGTGTTTGTAAAAAAAGAAATAAGTATTCAAATATAAAAAATTATTTAAACAATAAGCTATAACTAATAACCTACACTTTCTTTGGAAAGTGAGGGATACGATCATAAACTGGATCGTTAGTCCTTGAGATTAACAGGGATTTGATATTTGTCAATTATTTAAAAATGATGTCTTTAGTGTCAGGTCAAGGTGAACCGCTTTGAAATATTATAACATATGCCATTTTTATTATTGCTTCATTAGGAAATATATTTGACAACATAAATACAACGCATGGAGTGGAGTAGGTTGAGTAATTAGTTGATACAGTTAGTTAATTGTGTAAAATTGGATCAATAATGATCTGCTTTAAATGAGGTGATTTTTAACTTCGCTATCGGAAATCACTTTTTAATAAAAACACGTGATTTCAGTTTAAATTGTTTTTAACCATTAACCAATTTGGTTATTTGGTGTGTGCGTTAGACCAAACGATTGAAGTGAAAATATCAACAAGGCGAGATTAATAATATAAAACATAAATTATAAATAATAGCTCGTTATAAAGAGGATGAAATGCTGAATATTATCCTCATTTATATTAGGCAGCTCAGATTTTTCATTCTGATATATTTTAATCCATAAGCAAAAACAGTTCAATTAGTTGACTTAACCCAAGCGTTGCACATCGGAAATCTCAGAGCTCAATCTAATTCACTCTTAAAAAAAAAAGTGTAAAATGCGCCTAAAGATGTTTTCATTTCAAAAATCATTATTTGATTATTTAAGCCAGTTCTACAAATGCAAAGTACTAATTTTTTTTTCACTTTTCAGCGAACCTGGCGGCGTTCTGTGTGGGAACCATGCTTGGATGGACATCCCCGATGCAGCCACTTCTGGAGTCTGATCCTCCTCCCGTGGGCTCAACGCCGATGACAAGGGAAGAGATATCATGGATAGGATCTATAAACTTTATTGGCGCAATCACAGGGACTTTCGTATGGGGCAGAGTCTCTGATCGCTTCGGAAGAAAAACCACTGGACTCATCATAGCACTCCCCTTCGTAATCGGATGGACTGTGATACTATTTGCATATAATCATGTTCTGCTCTACGTCGGCCGGGTCTGCATCGGGTTCGGATGCAGCGGTGTGATCATAAATACCCCGATGTTCCTCACGGAGATTTCTCAAGACAGTATTAGAGGATCGCTCGGCTCATTTTTGATGATGTTCATAAATACAGGGTGTCTCTTTTGCTACATCATTGGTTCGTTCACATCATTCCATACTCTTACTGGAATCTGTCTATTAATTCCGATAATTTATGTAGCCTGTTTTTCATGGTTTCCTGAATCCCCGGTCTTCCTTTACACAAAAGGATCAAAGGAAAAGGCTCAAAAATCGCTACAATGGTACAGAGGAGACGATCCTGCTCAAGCAGAAAAGGAATTAATTCTCCTGGAAGGAAGATCGAAGAAAAGCGTAGGATACAGGACACTGATACAGTCGCGAGGTACTATTAAAGCGCTACTGCTGGGGTTCGGGTTTATCTTCGGACAACAGTTCTGTGGGATATTGGCCATCTTGACCTACACCGTAACAATATTCAAGGAGTCAGGAAGCGGTTTGCCTCCTCACGTTTCGGCCATCATGGTCGGGACCTTGCAGTTGGTGTCCTCCTTGCTCTCTATCGTCCTCGTCGACAAAGCAGGGAGGCGGATCCTCCTCGGCACATCCTACGCCGCGATGGGGCTGTCATTGTTCGCCCTGGGAGCCTACTTCAAGTTCTCCTTGCCTTACGCTTGGATCCCAATCACGTCGCTTTCCTTGCACGTCATCTCCTACTCTTTCGGAGCGGGGCCGGTACCATTCATCTTGATGTCTGAAATATTCCCGGCTCAAGTTAGAGGCCTGGCAATATCTGTAATTCAGCTGCTGGGTACATCGTTGTCATTTGCATCTGTAAAACTATTTCCAAGTTTTGTAAGCCTTCTGGGCCAAAGTGGGTGTTTTTTCTTCTATGGAGGATGCTGTTTAGGACTTGTATTTTTTACTTTACTCGCTGTTCCGGAGACGAAAGGCCGCACGCTTCAATCGATCCTCAGGCAAATGAATGGTGATTCTGGAGACGAGGTTACAGACATGGTCTCTGGAGGAAACAAGATAGTTATCATGCCGAAAAAAGAACTTGAGCCAATCAAATAAATCACTATTATTTTGAAACACCACAACCAGTAATGTTTCTATTTTTTGACATTAGATATAAAAGTAGAACCTACTTAATCTAAATTTTAAGGTTCCTAAAAAATTGTTTAAATGAATTCAAAGAATATATTTCAAAGTAGAAATTTCACATATCTTCACTGCAACTGAATTGAATTGTATATCTATAATATCACATAGATAGGTATTAGTTATCTATTGATTTGTTTAATAAATCATAGAATTTTAAATTTAGGTACTTAAATTTAATTATATGACAGATGAGAAGAGAAAACTAAAACCCAAAACGTATTATAGAAGAATTATGAAAAAATTAAATCAAACTCACAAATCAAAAAATATTAAAAGATGTTCCTGCGAAGAATGTAAGCTCAACAATGTGATAATACAAAGCGTTGTAGAATAAGTTATTAATATTTATAAGAAATAATTTAACCGCTACATAAAGTGAATCACAGGTTTTTAATGAACAATAAGTACCCATTTAAATTTTATTTTAATTTAACTTGTATGTATATAAAGATTAATTTTAGCTGTGATTATTCATTACTGTAAAAGTTTTTATTTGTAATGGCATTAAAAAAATGTTCAAGCATCTAAATGGTAGGATCGGACACATCTGGCTTATCAAACGATGCCCATAATTAGATGCAACCAATACATCACAAAACCCACCAGGATCAAGTCCATCCATCAACTAAAGTGATTTATTGTACTTTTGATTAAACTAGTGAGCTTCCCATTTGGATGCAGATGGTAGTCAAAGTTATACCCATTGTGAGTTTAAATTATTTAATACCATACATTCTAAGGCCCAGTTTAGAAAAAAAGAATATTTTAAATAATTTCATTCCGAACAATAAAATGGAATCTTTCAAGATTATTGCTGAATAGTATCATAATAACCTTATCGAATTTCTCGATAAATTATTATTTGTTTTATTATTACGACAGAAAATGCAATGGGTATTCAAACCAAGAAATTTAACAAGTTTTATTTTATTTAGGTACGTTTTATATATATATATATATATATATATATATATATATATATATATATATATATATATATATATATATAAATCATCACTTGATCAAGAGCTGGTTCGAATCCGACCTGGGTGGGTTGATATTTATTTTTTTGCGGATCCATATAATGAATTTTGACCTTCCTTCTCTATTTTAAATAGATTGGGCCTTCGTTTCTCTCTCTTATATTTTACAAATGGCTAGATAGGGCATTAAAAAAAAAAAAAAAGAACAGTTATCGAAATTCCACGTTAGCGGGTGGGCAAAGTAAAAAGCCATATTTTGTTTATAAATAAGATTTAATTAATTATTTTCCGTTATTTCGAACAAAACCAGGAGATAGAGTTTCTTTAATTTTCTCCGTTTAATTACTATACATCATAACAAATTTTATTGCATGTTTTTCACAATAAAAAACTGCTAATGATTTAATTTAGGTCTTTGTTCTCGGTGTGTAAAAATCTTTTCGTTTTCTTTTTATTCCTCATTTACTATGCGGCAAAATATCAACTATTTATTTTACAATGTCATAAAAAAAAAAAAACATTATTTTCTTTAATAACACGTATAGTTATTTGTATGATGTATCACAGAAAAAGTATAAATTAAAAGAAATTTCAGTAAAACGTTATTCAATGTTAAATAATTTCTACTTGCAGTTCTATTAACATTTCATGAGCTCTTAAACAGAAACAGCAAAATTTTTAAACAACACAAGAATTTTATTAAACATTATTCTATATCTACAGAATATTGTACTTAAATTAAAAAATAATTTTTCAATTACTTTTTTTTAATATGAAATATTTTTTTATTAAATTTACAATTTTTTTTTTTAATTTAAAGTGGCATTAAAAATATTTTTTAGTTTTCGATTTTATACATATTTTTTTAATTTGTTAATTTTTTTAAAGTTTTATAAATGCTTGTATAATTTATTTATTTTTGTAAGATAGAAACATGTAGTGCTCAAAATTGTCGTATATTTTAAATAGATCATTATACAATTTTTAAATTGTTTTATGTATATATCTTTGAATAAATTTCTTTTTTTAAGTAAAAGTATTTAATTATGTATTTTATCCCAACCAAATCAAAATAGGTTTTTCTGATGTACTAATATACATTGTTATTACATAATTACTTAGGCTAAATGAAGTTTAAGTACGTTGGAATAAAAAGAAGCAAAAAAATAATTACTGAGGATCACTTTAAGTTTTTCTTGAGTTAGAGAGCTTCTTTATTTTTAGACCTCAACTTACCAGGAAAAGCAACTAAGATATTTTCTTCAAGCAGCAATTCATAAAAACACAAGTATTATTATCGAAGTGCTGAATAGATAATTAAAAATAACACACGATTAAATATCCAAGTTCATAAAAAAAAAAAGTAAAGCACTTACAAATAGTACAGTTTAAAATGTTTGAAAAAACATCTATGAAAATGCCGAGGTAATCATTTCTAGATCGAGTTAAACAAACAAGATCATTAAAGCTATAATATATATTTAAAAATAAATGATAACAGACTAAGTCAAAAGTAAATCTTCTATCTTAATGTCTAATGAAATTAGTGTAATTAAAATCTTCTTATTTATCTTTTACATAAATATAATTATTTATGTATAAATTATTACATAAATTACTATATCTCACTTTCAACTACAAATATATCTAACATTTAGAATAGATCAAAAATAAAAATCAATATCAGAGATAAAAATACAAAATAATTATATGACAAAATACAATTATACAATACAGACAAACGATTCTCTACTATTTTTTTTTTTTTTTTTACTTTCCGACTTTGATTTGCCACAATTTATTGTGAATACCAGACTCACTTCCGATCATACTAAATTCCCAATATATTCTCCGAATTCTTAATGGTTATGCACCCTTACATTTTTTTTTTTTTTTTATCAAGGATTTCATTTTGGGGAGGGGGCTTCAGCCCGAAAGGTTTTTTTTTTATATAACGATAATCACTTTGAAAGAAAAAGTAAATCACTGACGACTTGTACGAAATGGTGTTTAAGTGATTTAGAAGTCCTATTAAATGTAATCACACAGAAAATAATACCTTGAAACATAATTTTTTCATAAGACATGTTTTATTTTATTATATTTAACCATTTATTATTTTTGGGAAAGGGGAGGGGCTTCAGCCCGAAAGCCTCTCCCCCCTCGTGGATCCGCCTGTTTCTACGGCGATACTGCATGACCTCGACTACTCAAAAAATTTCATTGATCTCGTTTTCTGAAAACGGTTCAAATAAAATTTTTAAAAAATTAAAAAATTGTAGTTTGTTTAAAATCACACTTGCAGTGTTATATTCCATGTTATACTATGTCAGGACATGAAAAACGGCGTCTAAAGAGTTCCAAACAACTAGAGGAATCAGACAAGTTTGGAACCTAAGTCCTCTCCTTTTTATAATACCATTGTAAAAATCCCTGAAAAAAGCTCAACAGTAAATGATACCATTGCATTTTGGATATAGAAGGCTGCTTCCCATCCAGTACTATGCTGGAATATGCGGATTATCTTATTGTCTTTGGAGACAATGGAAATAACCTCCGGTTTAATTCGCGCCTTCTGGAGGATCAACTGCGAGATATAAACATGGAGATAAAGACAAAGACAAAAACCATCTGTGTTGGAAGGAGGACCAACCAAGGAGACCGTGTCATTAGACTGGATGGAAACCGGATAGAACAGGTAAGTGACTTCAAATACCTGTGAGCTCATTTGAATGAGAATGACTGGGTGGATCGAGATATTAGAGAGAGGAAGATACTTTAATGCCATCAGAAAAGGTTTTTTGGGGAGAAAAGAGGCCCCAAAAACAACAAAAGTGGCAGTATTCAAAAATATCTTTCTGCCAATCTTGAACTACTCTAGCGAGTCTTGGACCCAAACAAGGAAACACAAAAGTCAATTCCAAGTGATGTAGAGACCGAGTGAGGAACACCATTGTCCGATTCAATTTAGGCCTGTAGGATGTAAGAGAAAAAAAAATAGAAAAACACCAGATAAGGTGGTTTGGACGCCTCTCTCGAATGCCAGTAGGCAAATAAGCAAGGCTCCTTTATAATACGCAGGAAGAAGACCTAGGAGGCAGCCCTGGAAAACCTGGGAAAGCGGAATAAAGAATGAATAAAGAATGCCTTAGCGGAATAAAGAATGCCTTTGGACATGAGAGAATTGGATTGGACGAGAAGAAAACAACTGGTCCAAAATAGAGACGTATGGATCAGGCTCTATAGACAAAAGCCTGCTTAGCGGTAGACTAGGATGGATTAAGTAAATAAGTAAGAAAATATATTTTTAAAAATAACAATAATCCCTACAAAACTTACATCCTGGAGCTGCTACTGCTAAAAACGCTAGAAAACAGTGGTTTATTTTGATAAAAAAGGTTATTAATTACCGATTGACGACAACGGTGCAATTAAGGACAGTAAAACCATTAGTATAAAAACATTCTGAGCCGTTATAAATCCAATTTAAAAATGAGTCCTGGAAAAGAAAAAAAAAATTAACGATTCTGTTTACAAAAAAAAAGGAAAAAAAAAATCTATTTAGGCCCAGCTTGATGGATTATTCGAGAGCCTTTATAAACAGTATCGGGTATATTGTTAACATTATCTTTTTCTGATGGCGATAAAAAAATAAAAATAAAATCAAAATGATAAATGTGTTTTCCCTGGATTGAGAGCGCTGACCCGAAGGGATTAGGGCGATCTATAGGGCGGTGAAGGGAGAAGAAAAACATCTGCCCTTGTGTACACAGCCGTTATAAATTTCAACGCAAGGCTCTGTTTGTTTTTCCCGCAATTTCTGTTTTGACCAAAACCGCATCGTTGACAGGATTTTCTTTATCCACAACCATGTTATTTTCATTTTTTTTTTATTTACATTTACTTGCCTGTATGTAAAATAAGTATATATGTAGTAAGAGAAGGTATAGCGATCGTGAAATATTTCAAATTTGATTTTTCAAAGAAAATACACGTTTTAAGGTTTCGTGAGACTAAATAATCAAGTCCCGCTAAATGGTTTGTGGGTATTCGTGAAGTGTAGGATGGATATATGTTCCATTGTACAGGCCCCTTTTTATCAAATTATTAAAGTCCATCTAGAACTTCGTGAATAGATTTATCTTATCGTTACTTATAACTTTTTTTTATCTAGGAAAATTCTCAGAAATGGGGTGCTTTCTTGTTACATTTATAAATTTAATAAGGTATT